TGGGTCTTGCCTCTAGCCTCTTGGCAGGGAGTTCTGCTGAAGGGTTCCGTGCTGGGCCTGTGCTCTGGGTCTATTCAGGATCCCGCGGCCTCAGTCGTCTCACTCACTTGCAGGACCTGCGCTCCTGGTCTATTCAGGATCTGGAGGGCCCCAGGTCATCTCACTCACTTGCGGGGCCTGTGCTCTGGGTCTATTCAGGATCCTATGGCCTGGGTTGTCTCACTCATTCGCCAGGCCTGAGCTCTGGGTCTGTTCAGGATCCCGCGGCCCTGGGCAGTCTCACTCACTTGCACAGCCTGCGCTCTGGGTCTATTCAGGATCCTGCGGCCCCGTGTTGTCTCTGAAAGAATATTTCTTTATCCTGTTCTTTCTTTTAAAGATTACTCTTACTAAAGTCACTAATCACTTTGTATAGCTAAATTCAATAGGTAGTTCTCATTACTAATCAAAATAATTTAGAAGAGTCAGTGATACTTGGATCATTCCTTTCATGCCTTCACAGTCTCTTTGGTTTTCTCATTTGTCTTCAGAAGTCCTTCACCCTCCTCCCTCCTTTATGTCAGTGCTCCCCTCTCTATTCAGTCTTAAATGTATGTGCTCCATTAGCAGATGGATGAGAATGGTAACCTAGAGTCACCTTAAATTGTTTTTAGTTAGGTTAATTACTAAAGCATCAAACAAGCAGTACAAAAGTCTACAAGATACAAATGAAAGTGGGAAGTGGACACAGTTCCACATGGCTCCATATCTCCACATGGGGATGGGCCAGGAGTTCTATAGTCAATGCCAATGGTGTTGTTTAGGTAAACGCAGGGGCCAGCCTTTGATCCCTGGCACCACATGCTGCACTGTCCCCACCCCCTGGGCAGACTGAGCTGGCAATGAAGTCTGGGTGTGGTGTTGCATGCCTGTAATCCCAGCACTAGGAAGACAGAAATCAGGAGGATCACTATGAGTCTGAGCTGCATAGTGAGATCTTGCACACACACATACAAGACCCTAAAAACAAAAAGATACCAGTGGTGTAAGGTGAAATTAGTGCCAACATGTTACAGGAGCTCACAGCTTTTAGTTTGCTGCCTTTTATGATTATTAGGGTGAAGATAAGAACTACTCACTGCCATGTGACAAAATCCCTTGGTATTGCATAGTCTGTCATAGCTGCATGCTTCATGATTGCACTGTCCGTGCTGTATGTGGACCGCGATAGGCTTATCAATATGGCCTGCCATGTGAATCTACTTTTCTCAACCTACATTGTCTCCTTAATTGTCTCACTCATTAATATGGCCATAATTCCAAGGATGTGCCCATAAATGATGAATGGAAATGTTTTTAAATATATTTTGTTTGCTTTCTGTGAAAGTAAAGTCAATAGAGAATGGCTTCTCTCATTTTTTCCTGTGGTGCAAGAAAAAGTATGTGGATAAGTATGGCTTTTAAAGGAAAAACGAGACATACATGTTTTCTGATTTCAACTAAATCAGAAAAAACTATTGGCTGATAGGTAGTTTTTAATACTAGAATCTTTCATGTCTATGAATCCAGTAAAAATGACTTTAGTAATTACAATCCATAGTTGGAGACTTTCAATGACTATATGGAACTATCCATTAATACTAGTAGCTTCAGCACTGAATTAACTTCCCAAATATTTACTTGCTATTTTCCACTTGTATTTTGACCATTCAATGTTAACTTCATAAAATTTGAATATTATTGAAGAATATTTATACATCAGAAAATAATATCCAACTGTGTATGAATATGAAAAATAATCTTTATTCATCACTACTTATGATAAATATAATAAGTAAACAAAATTATTAAAGATTATTATTGGCAGCATTTCACAAATCTGTGAATATTTTTAATCAAAATGTTCCTGATAAATTGTTTTTGTGAGTTCATGATCACAGAGAATGAATTTAAAGATTCAGAGATATCCTTTACTTCTGTTGCTTTGGGTTTTAATACCTGGTTCTCGGTTTGCTTAGGGATTTTTTTTCTTGTCTAAGATACAAATAGTGATACTACAATATTAACAATTGCAACAGACCCCACCACGGATAAGACCATGGCAAAAGAATTCACTCCAGGACTATAACCTCCATCAGGAGTAGTAATAATAGTAGTAGTAGTAGTATTAGTAGTAGTAGTAGTTTCAGTAGGAGTAGACTGAGTTTCATTTTCATTTTCATTTTCAGGGGTAAACAAAGCTATTTGTGCAATGTTGGATACTTGTGATTTCAAATCACTTTGATCTATACTTTGAATGGCAATGAATATATGGGTTGCATTTTCTGAGATATTTTCTGGTTTAAATGTAAAGATTTCCTTGGAGTTGGCCTCCTGTGGCACCAGGTCAGTAGCATCAATTTGAAGAGAATCGTCAAAATGGTCTCTCAGGTCGAGCATACTTTCATTTATTCTTATGATATATTGTTGAGCTAAGAAAAAAGTTACATGAGGTTTAGTAATTGTAGAACATAGTATTAAAATTCTTTTTATTTTAGTAATATTTAGTTATGTAAAGTATATGCACAAAGCAGAAGTCTTGCTCATTTTTCAATAAAAGCTGAATTCTGACTTTTTTTTGACACAAAGTCTCACTGTGTAGCTTAGGCTGGCCTCGAACTTGTAGCAGTCCTCCTGTGTCAGCCTCCTGAGTGGTAGGGTTACAGGTCTTTGCCACCACACCCAGCCTGAATTCTGACTTTTAATTTCTTCCAAGTGCTACTAACTTTGTATGAAAAGTAGGACAAATTAAAATGTATCATGCTTCACTGATTAAAAAGAAGTCAGATTTTATTGTGAATACTTTGCTGAGTTGTTAATTAAAAAGCATTCTTCCCTAACCCACCCTTTTACGCTTTCTTTTGCAATGAATACTTTTCACCGCATGAATAAACCACCTGACATTTCATTCTTACCTTTTCCAGAATCAAGATCCTCTCCCGGTGCTGTCCACCTTAAGGTGATGTTGTCACTGTCAAATGTGCCATCAAGGTCAGTGATTTGACTTGGTGGATACATATCACCAGACTGTGCTTGGAATCCTGATAGCACAAATGCACCTCCAGATGCTGTTCTGCTGAAACTCTCCCCAAATGTCTGAGTAGTCTCATTAGTTTCTGGTCTTGGGTTTCCTTTAATTTCTCCTGCATTAAAAAATCCTCTTGTTTAAAGTGGGGAAAAATGCACTTCTGTTTTTAGGACTTAATGAATTACCTTCAATGTGTTTTTATTTTTGTCATACAGGTACATTTTTACTAAGTCTTGTGACACCAATCTTAAGTAGCCAATTGGTGGGAAAATTCTTTAGTATTATAACCAGTTTATTGACCTTTATTTTTATTTATTTATTTTTATGTATTTGGTACAGGGCTACAGGGTCTACAGGGTCTCACTATGTAGACTGGACTCATAGTGATTCTCCTGTTTTCAACCTCCCAAGTGCTGGGATTACAGGCACGAACCACTATGCGCAGTCTCAATCGCCCTCTCAGCGTGCCCCAGGAGTGGACCAGCACAGCATGCCATGCCAGGGATGTAACCCTGGCCACTGCACTCTACCTAAGCAGATGCTTTATTCTGCTGAGCTTTCTGGCTGGCCCTTATTGTAGTGTAAATCCATGTAACAAATTGCCTTGAAATGAAGATTGCACTGAATGAGATTTATGCTATATAATTCAATGTATGTTTTTTTTTTAAACTATTGCATTTTCTCTTAAATTATCTTCAAGCTAGGGCTGGAGAGATAGCTCAGTGGTATAAGTGTCTGCCTGGCAAGTGTAGTCATAAATTTGATCCCCAGTACCAAAACAATAAAATAAAAATAAAAGTTATCTCCAAGCAAGGAATATATCTGGAGAAATTGCTAGTTCCCTTCCAACCACTTGGGTCAGGCCTTTTACCTCCCTGCTATAAATGGGTGACAACTGCAAACAAAAAACCTAGAAAAGATACAAGAGACAAGACCAAACAAAGGAAAGGTATCAAAGAATGTGGTGTTTATACATGGCATCATGTTACGCTATGCACTTTTTTCTTTAGACTTAAGGCATTGTAAATAAATACTGTTGAATCATGTGTATTTTGAAAGATTAAGTCTGCTACTGGCTTATACTAAGGCTCAGGATATATTGGATTTTTACCTGCATCTTGAGCTGAACACTAGGTGTATTATTGTTGCTATTATCAAGGGCATTCCAAAGTAACAGTCCTAGCTGGTACCTTGGAGTGTTACTATGTGCCAGGACTTTTTGTAAAGGTGACTTTGGAGGCAGGTAATTGAGATCTTCATTCCATAAATAGGAAAAGTTAAACTCTGAGTTGTAAAATGTTTGATATTTTACCTCAGTCAGATCAAATCACAGATATTATTTCAGCTATCACTGGATTTCAGACACTATAAGGTACGCACCATTCTCAACCCAGCCTGGTACAAATGCAGCCCTATTCAGTGGTGAGCTGCGTCTGGTAGAGTTTTCTCCTCCATTAACTCGCACTTTTAAGCTGTATCTGCCATCTTCTGTAAAACTTGTAAAATACCTGGAGTAGACCCCATCATCTTTGAAAGCATCGGCACCTTGTTATGGAAATGGAGAAATAGAGTATTGTAAATTCAAGAAGAAACTCATACATTTTGTAAGATAGGCATTGGTCTTGATAAACAACACTCTAAATTTGGCATGTTATATTGGGAATGACTTACTGGAGTATCTCCATTATACTCTGCCTAAAGAGTACACTGCTGAATTCATGCCCTTGAGTTATTTTGGTACCTGTGTATCTATACTTCTAAACACATGCTTGCAGTTAGTGTTTGTGTATGATAATAAATACTTATATACTACATCTTTCTTTCCCATATCCACTTGTATGTGATTAATGGTATTCTTTTTTTAAACCATTTTTCTGGCAATTGGTTTTCTCATCTAATCACATTAATTGTTTCATCTTTCTATTTAAATCTCGTGAGTCCTTACTAAGAAAAACTATCCCTTGAAGGATTTAGTTATAGAAAACTAAAACTATGTTTTGTCTTATCTTCAAATGCTGTTGTGTTTTCAACTCTTGCTGTCCTGATATATTAACTGTCTAGTTTGAAAGAATAGAATTCCACTTACTTACAGTTGAGAAATTTAGAAACACTGTACTTTTAAACCACTTGTTAAATTGCAAAATATATTTCCTAGCACATTTAATCCTGTAAGTCAAAGGATCTTAAAATGAGGTTCAGTAGTTAGACTAGAAGTAGCTGTGTCTCTCAAAATCTAGAGATTTTTATACATGCTAATTAATGAGAGTATCCAGAAAAGGGTCTTAGTTTTATGTGTTTTACCCAAGCCTTCAGAGGTTTCCTTTGCACACTCACATGTAAGTTTGTATGCTGCCCTAAGTCATGATTAATTACTGATACCTCCTTAGGTAAAGGCATTTCAAGTAAGATAATTGTCCAATTAGCTAAAAATTCAGATGGTAAAGTGGCAAGAAATGAAAAAACACGCAGGTAAGTTTTAACATTGTGTAGATGAGGCATAAGAGGCAAGGGCTATTCATGGGAGAAGCCACTGAGGAACATCATTTGTCAACGACAGTTGAAGACAGGATTGTAAAATGAATAAATTACATGGAAAATGGTACACATAGAATTTCCAGACTCAGCCCAAGCCCAGACCTGGTGAGTGTGTGGGAAAGCTTCTTCGCTCCCCTGTACCTGCTGGACCCCTCCTGACCCAGCCCAAGCCCAGCATGTGAGTGAGACCTTCAGCCATGCTCTTGAGACCCCTTCGAACCCCTCAGAACCAGCGCAGGCCCGGTGTGTGAAAGAGAACTTCCACTGTTTTCTCGGGACCCCTCTAGACCCAGCCCAAGCCTGTCCTGGAGAGTATGTAGGACAGCCTCCACACTCCCCTTTGCCTTCGGATCCCTTTGCATGCAGCTCAGGTCCACTTGTGAGCGAGTCCTTCTGTCCTGCTCTCTAGACCCCTCCAGATCCAGCCCAGTCCTGGCATACAGGCCTGGTGTGAAACTCTGCAGCTGAAATCCCTGCAGAGAGGCTAGGGGCCAGAACCACCCAATTAATCCAGGAGCAGAGCATCTTGCCAGAGGGGCACAACAGGTTCACTTCCAAGGGCTGCAGCAGGAAGAAGCTGAGCACCAAGCCAGGCACAACTGGATGAATTCAAACTTCATAGATCTGCACCCAAATTTCAGTAGGTTCTAAGGTTATAACTGCACCAAAGCTCTACAACAAAGGTCAGAGGATAACGCTATACAAAATGATAAAGAGAAGGAGCAAAATGCAATCTCAGGCCCCAAGCCCACCCAGAACAAGTATAAAAGACACTAGCACAGAAGAAGTTAAAAGGAATCACACGGCTGAAATTTCTGAATTAATAGTGTTTGAAGTAAAGAAACAACTGCAGAAAGGTATAGAGAAAGTCAGATCAGAAATAACCTCTGAGCCTGGGGAGATGGCTCAGTGGAATAAGTGCTTCCCTGGCAAGTGCAAGGGCTTGAATTCATTCCCCACTTAAAAAAAAAAGAGATAACCTCTGAAATAAAAAAAGAAATCTCTGAATTAATAGTATGAAGTAAAGAATCAAATGCAGAAACATATAGAGGAAATCAGGTCAAAAATAACCTCTGAAGTAAGAAAAGAAAGGATAACTATAATGAAAGAATTAATAACTGCTTCTCAAGAAGACACTGATAAAAAATAGAGATTAGAAAAACAATGGAATCCTTGAATGAGCAATATAGAAAAGAAATAGATCGCATGAAGCAGAGTCAAAGAGATGTAGAGGAACTTAAAATCTTAAACACAAGCTTGCAAAACCATTTGAGTGAATGTGAATATAGAGTTTCAGATCTTGAAGATGCTGGTACAGCTAGTGAAAAGGTAAGAAAAGATCTCTTAAAAACAACTAGGATGCAGGAAAAAATAATTCATTGCCTGCAAGATGATGCAAAGATGAACAACATGAGACTAATAGGCATCAGTGAGAAAGATGGAGTCAATACAAATTGTTCATTTCTCATGTCACTAGGCTTGAACAGAAAGTCAGGTTCCCCCCCAAAAAACCTTAGAGTCTGGAAAAGATCTTTAAGCACAAGTTATGCACACAAAACAGGAATACAGAGCCTGGCCAGTACTATTCCTTCTTTCCTGCCAGTCAGACCTGGTATCAGATTCCCCATCGATGTACCCTCCCTTCTGTGGTAGTTTTCACTGCTCTTGGACTGCAATGCTCAGGACTGCATTTTTATTTTGTTCTAGCTTCTGGGAATTACTCCTGCTGCTTTCCCTTTCCCTCCCACTGGCCTGGGTTCTACTACTTAGCCCTGTCTTGTTGCTTGTACTTCACTGTCCCTGCCCAGACCCTCTTGATAATGTACATTTCTTCTTCTGAGAAGCACTAACCTAAAAGTCTTGATTCTCAACTTACCTTCCTTAATGAGACTTACTGGTGTCAGACATTGGCTATCTAGATAACCATAACTTTAACAATAATTAACATTTACTGAATGCTTAGCATGTACAATATACTTGCTAAACATTTTGTAAGTTTTACCTGCTACAATTTCCTGCTATTCCTTTTATTCCTCCATAATCTACCTTAATTCATTGGATGCCTGTCTTCTTGCTCCACACTACTTGTAGGATAACATTCTTAGTTATAAAATGTAAACTCTTTCATAAGAGCTTGTGAATTACCTGCACCATTGTCCAGCAGGTCCAAATTGTGTGTGTTTCCACTGCTCGATTCAATGATAGCAGTCACACTGACTCCAAGAATAGGCACATACCCTTGTTGAACTTCTGCATACACAATCATGGGGCTGGGGAAGGTGTTTGTGTCTTTATTCATTTTAGCGCTCACTGTGATCGGAGGCACAGAGGAGTTTGCTGCCCGTGAAGTTACTGTCATAGTCAGTATTTCTGAGTCTGCTTTGGCTTGAAGATTGTAAGTCCACATGCCCACCTAAAATGGTCATTGAAAACATGCTAAGTACCCATTATGAAGCTATTTTCTGGTTTCATTATGGAATTTTAAAATAAATCATAGAAGTGTGGATGAGGATAAACAGGTGGTTGATGGTTTTGAGGTTTTAAGAAGAGAGGAGTTGGGGTGGTTTATCCAGGGCACCCTGATAAAGCCTTACATGTTGTGCATACTGTATGATATATCAATTGGAAAAATAAGTGTGCCAGGGCTGTAGCCTTGTTTGCTGACCTCAGTAGAAATGTGCATTTCTCATGCTGCTCCCATACTTCCTTCTTGAGCTACCTTTTCTTCCTTTCTCTTGATATATAGTTTGTTTTTCCTGACTTTTGTCATTACAACTTTCAGGATCATAGTCAAGGAAAGAACATAGGATTTAATTTCACATATGGCATGATCATCAGCATACACAGTTATGGTGTTAGTTTATTTTCTGCATTAAAAAATTCAGAGGAAGTGTGAAAGTTGACCGCTTACCTGTGCATTTCCTGGAATAGTGACATAGGCCATTCTGGAATCACTGTCCTGGGTGAATGTTTCTATCAGTGCTCCACTGGGATCCAAGAGAGAAAAGTTGGGAGTCTGTGCAGTCCAAGTGATGAGAAAGAATGTGTCCTTTCCCACGGTGCTGTCAATTACCACAGTACCATTCATCCAGGTATCAGCGCTCAATGCTAATCCTTTACTTTCAAGCTGTTTAAATATATTTTAAAAATTATTGACTACAGAAAATAATAATTTAAGTCATGTTTCTTTTAAAAATGATTTTTAATATTTCTAGTCTGAAAACAAATTTATATGTGGTATACCACCTTAGAATTGTCAACTTAGCTAATTGGAATGCAGTATTTGTCAGGCAGAGTATGAGAAGAAAACATCAGAAGGAAGGAGGGTCTATAATAAGAAGCTTAGAGCAGGAACAAGAGTTTTACAGCTGGGGATATCATCCTATTATTGTTTCCCCAATTTTCTGGGTAAAACACCAGGTAACCTTTAGATCTTTAGTAGCTACAGTCAGCGTTACAGGGAAGGCCTGTCCATAATGGGTGTGTGTGTGTGTTTCTCTTTCATTCTAAACGTTTTCATGGTGATCCTAGGGAGAACAGTGATGGGAAACTAGAGCATTTGATGGAGGCAGAGTGAAGGCTTCAGAGATAAATGACTAGTAAAGAACTGATGCAAACTCTCATGAATATTTTCCTGATTTGATATCTTGAAATAAATTTCAAGCAAGTAGAAGGGTGAAACACTGTACAGAAAGTATATTCAAGGAAAGGGGAAACTGATGTGTCAATGATGAACTCCTAAGAAAAGGAAAGTTAAAAAAGCACCTTTTATGAGAGGAGCTTTACAGAAACTATTTGTAATTTTGTAATAATGCTTAGTGTAAGGAAGTCTGGAATGTTGAGATTAATTTATTTTTTAAAGTGAGAAATTTGTAGGGATCTTGCTACTTCTGTAAGTTCACCAGGTGGAGCTCCAACTTGTGATATTTTTGCCCTAGCCTCCCATAATGCTATGGACCTGTTTACATATTTTGAAGTGTGTACAAATTATGGAAGAGCTGAACAGACTAATTAACAAAGTTATTATCTCTGATAATTATCATTGTTTTGTGATGAGAACAATCAAATTCACTAATTTGGTGATTTTCAATACCATGTCATTAACTATCATCACCATGTTTATATAATAGTTCTCTTGATATTATTTCTTCTACCTAACTGAACATTGTATCCTTTTCCTAACATCTCTCTCAACCCCACACCCCAATAGCTACTAATAGGCTACTCCGCTTCTCAGCCCAAGTTTTCAGATTCCACATGTAAGTGAGGTCACCGTTTTTCTGTGTGTGCCATATTTCACTTGTTCTAAAGTTCCAGGTGATCTCACTTTATTCACTCTCTTTGGTGTTTTCTAGGGTGTGCCTGTCCCAGAACAATAAGAAATCTTATTTCTACTGTACTACAGTCCTCAACCAAAAACACCTTCAGTGCCATGCTGATAGAAGAAAATTAATTTTACTTTAAAACAAACAAACTTTAGTTACTTAGTAGTCTTCTTTCTAGCTGACTGCAGTATTCTACTTCTATGCTCTTAAATGGTTTTTGAGATATTATGCTTGTAGTTACCACCACCCAAAGTTATTAAGGGAAAACCAGTACAAAACAATATTTCAAAAATCCCTTTTTTCAAAAAAATTATTTTTCCTTTCTTGTAAGACAGTAATATTTTCTCCATCAATCAGGTTGAAAAGCCCTCAGACATGCTCTTTATTTTCCTTTAATTTATTCTTCACCTACTGCCAGGCTAGAGCTCAGATGAATTGTTAATATATTTCTGCAGGGGAAAACTGTAAACCAGAGCTCCAATAACTGCTGGTAATCTGCACATATACTATTCTGTAATTTTTTCTTTTCTTAGTATTGGTAAATAGAAGAAATAGGCTTGTTTAAATAGTAAAGCAGGAAATTTTAATTTAACTAATGATTTGATAAACAGGAAAACAAAAGCTTTGGGCATTAAGAGATGTAAGAGAGACTTTAGGGTACTGAAAAGATGGGAAACATTTTTAAGACACATACAGTATCAACACAGCCCATTTATAGTGAAATGTTGAGGAGATAGTTCAGCAGTCTAAGCAGCCACCTAGCATGTGCAAGGAACCAGGTTTGATCCCAGTACCACATACCCTGCTGGCCCTGGAACCTTGAGTGTGCTGTGCTGACCACCAAAACCGGGTGTGGTGGCACATGCCTGTTATCTCAGTGCTGGGGAAGCTGAGACAGGAGGCTCACTACAAGTCTGAGCTGTGTAGTGAGACCCTGTGCCAAATAAATAAATAGATAAATAAATAAGATTAAAAAACAAAAAAGGAACTAAAGGTGATTCAAATGTTCTGAATCTAAATAAGCAGAAATGATGGTGATATTGAGACACAGGTGAGGAAAAAAAGTAGAAATCAGAAAGAAGTAAATAAAGTAAAAAGTCAGTGGGAGAGAAACTGTTGAGGAGGTGAGAGAAGCCCTGGCATGTAGAGAATTATTTGCTCTGCCTTTGGCCTATTTATTTCCATGATATATTTCTTCAATTCCAAATTAGGTGAGTGAGTTCATTTGCCCAAATCTATGCCACAGAAGAGAAGGACAAGGAAAGCTCAGAAACGTGTTTTTTAATATATTTGTAGAAATATTTATTTTGGACAAAGTCTAGTTTGATAGAAAATTAATATTGCTAGGTGCTAGTGTTATTCCTTAATTAAACCCAATAGCAATATAAAAAAATTTGTCTGCTACTTGATGACATATTTAACTCTTCTTAATCACTTAGTTTGGGTATTCTAAAGAATACTAAACTCTGGGGGGCCTGCCCCTTAGCTCCGTTCTTTAAGTGGCTGCTTCAACAAAGCAGTCAGGCTCAGGTTGCTGTGGTTCGATCCCCACAACTCAAGCCAGCCAATCATGCCCTGAAGGCATCCGGAGAGAAAAAAAAAGAATACTAAACTCTATTTTAGGTTTTGATCTTAGTTAAAATTTTAATTAAAAATTTGAGAAAAATGCAGAACTCAAAACTTATAGTTACCAACTTCTTTTTCTTGGTTGTGGAAAATGCAAACAAAAATCTGAGGAGCTGGAACTCTCACCTGAAGGGACTTCTGGCTGAGAGCTGCATTTTCTGACATAAGGGCTGCAAAAGCATCGATGAGGCCATTGTTCTGGGCTTTGTCTGAAGAATAGTAAGCTTTTCCTCCTAAAATATAAAGGCATGAGATGGTTGATTTCTAGAAAACAAGTACTTTTTAGTACTGTTATGCATAAGGCAACAGTTTAAAGAAAGTCATAGTTTTAGTGTGTGTTAAAACAGACCGATGTCAGACGCTGTAAGGTTAACTCTGAAGTGCTAATTTAGAATTGGGAAGCACAAGATACTGTGCTATCTCAGTGTCAAAGTCTTATCTAGGTGAAATGCAGTACATCAAATCAGTATACTATGAAATGTGTTACAGTACTATTTAATTACTTCACAGTCTTTAAACAACTACCTTTATTTAAGATATAGTTCTAACAAAGTTGATTATTTGATTTTTCAGACAAAATTGAACAGAAAGAAAAAAATAGAATTCCTCTATTTTCCCCCCGGTAATGAAGAAATGTTATTTGATGATGTGACTTGATTAGCAGCTTTGTCTCTCTGTACAGCCAGTCTCTTGAGAATCGCTGGCACAGAGACTAAGCTAGGTGATCTCCAACTCCTGGCACAACACCCACAGCGGAGGAGCTCAACAAGTGTTGAGTTGTCAACAATGACAATTGCACATTGCCATAAAAGGCCTTGGATATGTAGATCATGTTTTACCTGTTATAGTTGCCATCTCTTTTACTGCTGCATCAGCTGTTGGTCCCAGAGCAATGAAATGAATGATGGCCCCGCTTTCTCGTACTTCACCAATACAGCTGCTTGCTGTATTGTCTTCCCCATCAGTCAGCAGCACTATTTCAGACCCATCTAAGTCAAAGTTTTTGTTTGTAATGACCTGCAGACAGAATTCAGACATAACTTTCATACTAGAGCTAATAGATTGGTGGGAAATTAGAAAATAACACTGTTTACTTCTTCAACCCAATTTCATAAAATTCTTCCTTGCCAATCTGCAGTGCCACTAGCTTCTAACACTTCTTAGAACAATCTCAATCTTTTCTATCCTTTCCTCAAGGTAGTTCAAATTCCCTGCTGTACTCAAATAGCTCAGTCTTATCCTTCAAATTTGAACTTAAAGTCATCCTTTAGAAAAGTCTCAGTGGCCTCTTTATACAGTGAATCCCTTCCTTTCCAAATTACTCATCACAGTTTTCAGAGCACAGAGCATTGAGAGGGGAGAACTGAGAAGAAGATTGAAAGGAGAGAAGAGCAATGTTAGTGTCCAGGAGATATGAATAACCACAAATTGAGAAAAACAGACTTAATTTTATAGAAAGGAAGACAACTTCTAAGCAGGAGCATGAGCCAATTAATATTAATTATGCATTCAAGAAGAGTATCTAGAGAATTTTATAATGTGATAAATATTTTTGTAAGTATATAACTATAATTTTATTTAATATTCATAATAAGCCTTTCAGGTAGGCATTTACATTTCCTCTATTTTATAAATAAGGTATAGAAAATCCAGAGACTGACAAATTTGCCTAAACTTACAAAGGTAGTAAGTAGCAGAGCCAGTATTCTGCTGTCAAAGCTCACATGCTAACTCATGGTTTACCTTAAATATGACTGTCACTGCTATGTTAGATTTAATAGATATAAAATACTTTTCCTTATAGAATGTTACATAAACAGAAAGGATATCTGGCTCAAAGTAAACTCACATCATGTAAACCAGTTATTGCCCTAAAGATTGACAGTTTTTATACCAAAGCATATTTCTTATTTAACTGACATTTATTTAACACTATTCTATATTAACAAGAAAGTAAAATCTTTGACCTCACTGAGTTAATAATCTAGCAGCATTCTTTTTATTTTAAAGAAAAGAAAAAAGACATAACAATGGTATAACATTTCAAAACAATCTTGTAGGAGAGTAACAATGGCTAGCACATTGAGTATAGATAATCTTCAAAGTAGTTGCTCATATTACAAGATAAAGGCATGAATAATTGATCAAATAATATAGGTAACCTTTCTTTTCAATGAGCTAAGAGTAATTAGTAGTATAACTATCTTTTTGGGTTTTTTTTGGCCAGTTCAGTCCACCCTGAGGGCAGGGCTGGTGCACTATGTAGTGCCAAGGATTGAACCATGATCCCCTGTGCCTGCCTACGCTTGCCTAAGCAGGTGCTTTAGACTACTGAGCTATCTCACCAGCCCCAGCAGTAAAACTATCTTAACTGTCATATATACGTCTATATATCTATATATCTATATATAATATATTATATATAAAGTATGCATTCAAGAAAAGTATCTAGAAAATTTTCTAATATACATATTGTTTTAAGTATATAACTATAATTTTATTTAATATTCATAATAATCCTTTCAGGTAGATATTTGCATCTATCTATCTATCTATCTATCTATCTATCTACCTATCTATAGTTTTCGTTTTCCTTTGTTTTTTCTCCTTCTCTGTATTCCAGTTTCTCTTTCCTTTGAGCAGTTTCTTCCCATTTTACAATATCTATTGTACATTTTGGATCTTATTTATTCTTTCAGCTTCTTAAACTAGGGAGGCAATATGATGTTTACACATGTGAAACTGATTTATTTCACTTATGATTATGGTCTCTGGTTACATCCATTTACCTATAAATTTCTTAAGTTTATCCTTTATAGCTGAGTAGTACTCCATTGTATGAAATACCACATCTAGTGGCATTTTTATAGTAATGTATTTCTCCATAGTTTATTCATTGATTCACTGACTCACTAGAAAGTCATTAAGTGATTTTTTATATGTGCTTTGTCCTGTGCCTCTTATGTTAAAATTAGGCAACAATTTTGTGAAATAACACTTCACTTTAACATGTATTGAAACAACAATAATGACAAAAAACTCAAAATACATAAATAGGATGATTTTCACCTGAAATGCAGTTCTAATCCCAGCGCAGATGGAAGTTCCTCCCAGAGCTACCGTAGGCAAGTTCTTCAGGAGCGTGTCTCTTTCGCTGTTGTTTCTTATCTGTATTAACTCACTTGTAATGCTTGCAACACTATCAAATTGAACCATTCCTACCCAGGAGCCATTCTCCACAGTCTGCAGCAGGAAGTGTTTTGCTGCTTGATTCATTCGGTTGAGGCGATTATCATTCTGAATAAAAAAAGAGAAAGAAAACAACCAAATAGTTTTCATCTGGAAGATAGTCTCATCACACATAAGAATGCACACGGCTGTCTTAACACGGAGTCACATCCCAGACTTTACAAATCCAACCAGACTAACTGGACTCCATTCAGAGTTGAAATTATCCCCTTTACTGAGAATTAGTTTGCCCCATGAGTGAAACTAAACTGAGCTGACGCTGAATTCTGAAAAGCCTGGTCCTTACCACCTCTTTTTTCCTTTTCTACTCCTAATGTTCCCTCAACATTTATCCACCAATAGTTTAACTGGAGTTGGCTCTTTGTAACTGCTGGGAGTGGGTGGAGCTGGAAATCAGTCATATGTGTGAGGACGGGACAAGGCCACAGTGCCTAAAGCAGTCAAGCTACCTCAGGCTGGAGAAAAGCATCCTGTCTGGACAGTTTCAGGCACTAGTCCTTAGGCAACTTTGTGTCTCCCAATAATAACTTTGCAAAGGTATAATAAATGCCCCTCCTGTAGTTCTTGCCCATCAATCAGAGGCTTCCACTTGACCCATCTCTTGTCTCTTGTCTATCTTTATCTCATTTCTGCTATTTCTCCCTGGCATACACAGAGAGACCAACAAGTCCCTACAGGTAACTTACTGGATTCATATACTGAATGGGCAAATATTGCAAGTATTTCCTCTAAAATCAGGAAGGAGACAAGAATGTTTATAGTTTCAGCACTTCTGTTTGACATAGTATATGAAATTTTATAATTTTTTATGTATTTTAGTACAGGGTCTATGAGGTCTCACTACATAGATCAGACTCATAGTGATTCTCCTGTGTTCAGCCTCCCAAGTGCTGGGATTAAAGGCACATGCCACCATGCCCAGTCTTCATCACTGTCTCAATGTGCCCCGGGGGTGGGGCTGGCACAGCACACCAGGCATTGAGCCCTGGCTGTTGCGCTCTGCCTAAGCAGGCGCTTTAGTCTGCTGAGCTATCTGGCCAGTCCCAGCATATGAAATTTTAGCCAGAACCATTAGGCAAGAGAAAGAACTGAAAGAAATAAAAACAAGAAAGAAGAAGTCAAATTTTCCTTATTTACAAATGATATGATCTTATATTTAGAAGAGCCTAAGGACTCTGCAAAAAAGACTTTTAGATCTGCTAAATAACTTCAGCAAAGTAGCAGGGACAAAATCAACACTACAAAATTAATAGCTTTTCTGTACACCAATTAATAGCTTTTCCATAATGAAATAACTGAGAAAGAAATCAAGAAAACAATTCCATTTAGAACAGCATCAAATGTTTATCTAAAAATGAACCTATCCAAGAAAGTGAAAGTCCCCTATAATGAAATTGAAAAGAGACAAGAAGAGATGGTTAAAAAAAAAAAGAAGATATGGAAAGATCTTCTATATTTATGAATTGGTAGAATTAACAGCATTCAAATGCCAATATTAACAAAAGTGTTCTACAGATTCAATATAATCCCCATTAAAATACTAAAAGGGAATCTGCACACAACTAGGAAATCCACCCTGAAATTCATATGCAGACACAAAAGACCCAGAAGAATAAAAGCAATTCTAAGCAAAAAGCAAAGCTGACAACATAATGCCTGATTTCAAATAATATTACAAAGCCATAGTAACAAAAGCATCTTGATACTGGCACACAATAGACATGTGAACCAATACAAGACACTAAAGAACAAGGAAACACCCCCCCAACTATGGCCCTCTGATTTTTCATAAATGGGTCAACACACACATTGTAGCAAAGACAGCCCTTTAAACAAATGGTGTTCAGAAAACTGCATATCCATATGCAAAAGACTAAAACTAGATTCGTATTTCTCACCTGGTACAAAAATCAATTTAAAATGTATCAAAGACCTGGGTGAAATATTCAAAACTTTGAAACTCCTAGAAGAAAATATAGGTGAAATACTTGAAGCCATAACTTCACAAAAGACTTCCTGACAAGCACTCCAGTAGCATAAGAAATGATAGGAGGAATCAACAAATGGGACTATAAAATTCAACATTTCTGTATAGTAAAAGAATCAATCAAGAGAATAAAGAAACTATTTACAGAATGAGAGAAAATCTTTTCCAGTTTTCTTCAGACAATGACATATATATATATATATTAATATATATCTCAATCTATAAATAGGCAAATGAACTAACAATAATAGTGTTTCAGATAAACCTTAATGGTTATGATACTGCCATTGTGCAAAGATGGGAAAAATGAATTGAAGAGACACTCCCAAAAGAAGAAACAATAGTGGCTAATAAGCATTAAAAAAACCCCTTATTATCCATTACATATAGGCAAATCAAAACTACATTAAAGTTGTATCTTATATCAATGGCTACCACCAACAACACAAAAACAACAAATGCCCGTGAGGATAGGGGTCGAGGCAAGAATTTTTCCACACTGTTGGTAGAAATGTTAATTGGTACAGCCACTATGAAAATCGATGCAGCTCTTCCTCTTAAAACTAAAAGTAGAACTACTGTGTAACCCAACTATACCAGTCCTTGTTAGATGCCAGAAAGAAATAAAGCCTGCATATGGTAGTGATACGAATATAGACATGTTTATTGCCAAGTAATTCACAATAATAAAGATATAGAACCAGCTTAATTCCCCTTAAATGGATGAACAGATAAAGGAAATATGGTGCATAATGAAGTATTATTTAGGCAAAGACTGAAGTCATGTATTTTCAGGGAAATAAATGAAACCTGAAGTTTTCATGTTAAACAAAGTAAGCCAGACTCATAAAGACAATTATCGCATGTTTTCCCTAAATGTGGAATCTTTAAAAAGAAAAAGGAAAGTAGAAGAGACTTAAGAAGACAGGAATAAGCATGATGGAGAATGGACAAAAAGGATCCGAGGCATTGATATGATGATCATGATATGTCATATACATGTAAGAATATCATGCTGAAATGCAATGTTTGGCAAAATTACCAGGCAGTAATCACAGCAACTGCAACAAAAACTCGTGCTCATGTCCCTCTTTCCTACGTGACTGCCCAGAACATACACTTCCTTATACGTTTGTGTCCTTCATTCCCTCACCACCACACTCCTTGCTATATACCCACAACTCACACCCAAATTTCCCTCTGAATTCCTGAAACAGATCACGGTGGAAAAGTCCATATTTGAAGCTCTCTCCCACTTTACTTTGTCTTTGAACCTAGATCTCACAGTATGCTCCCTCTCAGGAACCTCTTCTCTCCCCAGTGACATTTGCTGGATCACTTGTATGTGCTGACACCAGCACTTTCCCAGCCTCTTTGAAATCCTGTGCTACTGTGGCTCATTTCATTAAACTGTATCTTTCTTTGCTTTTTTCACTACACATCTCCCACTTTAGCTGAAGATTTTATTCCTAGTCTTTAGCATGTCCTGTTCTGCCTCAAGTATGCATCCTTTTAGGTACCTTGTCAAATTGCATTGCTTGATTATAATTCATTCATTACATATATTTATTGATCACTTCTATGGGATGAACTCTTTTCTATATCCAGTGGTTTCAAAGATACATTAGACAGTGTTCCAGTTCCTTGACACTCTCTCAGTCTAGTTGATAGAAGCAGGTATACTTTCAAAAATGAATATGGTCATAGAGGTATGCACAGTGAAGTGCTGGGAGTTAACAGAAGGTCCTACAACATCTGATACAGCCAGCATATTTTGTAGAGCAAGTATCTCTCCTAAATTAGAAGGAGAAGCATAGCTTAACCAGATAATACAAAAAGGAGAAAAAGCATTCACTATTGAACCAAGAACCTCTCAAGGACATGGATCTCTATTCTTACAGCCTAGCACAATACCTTGTATTTGCTGCATAATAATGAAGGAAATGGCTGCATCTAAGCATACATTCTTTGTTGTGATGTTTTGTCTGTTTCTTTGAGTATAAAGAAGTCCTTTGTACAGATAGTACAAATAAGAAAAGTCATTGCTAGGGCTTCTGATGAATGTTCTTGTTCCTTAACCTGCAAAGTGGTCTAATATTCACTAATCCTCATGTTCTCAAACATTTTTCAAAGAAAGAATCATGCCTAAAAGCAAGTTCTTCAGTCTCTAGTACTGATCTTTTAACTAAAGCTCGACTAAGAGTTTCCACAATAAACCATTTTTTTTTTCTGGGGGAGGGGAGGAGGGGATAGGGTTAGGTCTTTGGAACTTTACTGACCCTTTTTTTTTTTTACTATAGTTTTTGTTTCAATATCTTGAGGACATGATCGCCAGAAATGATGATGCTTTATGTCACCATATGATTTGGAACAATCCAGTATAGGTAGAGTACAGTGCATTCCTAGCATTTAATTAACACCAATGCTACATCTAGAAAAATTAGCACAAAGAACTTACACCCATGCTTCCAGACTTATCAAGAACAAGGCACACAATTCTGTCACTGATCCTCAGCAAGGAGAAGGTAGGTGCAGGAGGTGTTTCCTCCATCACCGTGGTGTTTTTATAGTCCTCCGACTCTCTGATTACCTCCCATGTGCTTCTGTAATTGCACTTTAGGTTTTGTAGACTTGGAGCTTCTTGGTTATGATTTTTTTCATTGCAGAATTCAACAACCTAGAAGGTTAATTAAATGAAAAATAATTTTGTTGCACAGAACCACATATTTAGAAAACCTAACTGTAAACATGAGCAATTTAAATTGTTCTACATATATATTTTTATTGGATAAAACATTAATATGAATCAGTATTAAACTAGGCTGACCATAATAGTAATGAGAGGTAACACTAACTGAATGCTTATCATGTGTCAGCCAAAGATGACCAAATTCTATATTGATATATTTAATCCTCATTTCATCTGGATTCATATTTTAAATTAGATAAGTTGGGACTAGAGATGTAATACTTTGAGTAGAGTACATGCCCAGCATGTACAAGTCCCTGAGTTTGATTGCCAACATCACAAAGTAAAGCAAAATGAAAAAATAAAATCAGATATGTGCTTTGAGTATGGATTTTGGAAGCAAGGAGTGGCATACTTACAGAATTAATACTTTGCATAAACATTATGGAAGCTTTTTCTGTTTGATCTTTATCAGGGAAGAACTGACAATTTTTTTCATATAGTTTTGTGGTAGAATCAATTCTGCATCTTCTAGTTACACAGCTACCTCCTTGACATGTATAAATGCTGTTTGTCCCAGAGATACCTGCAGAACACCTGAAAATACGTGACAGTTTTTGAGGCAATCTATTCCTTAGCACATTAAAATATCTTAAATTGTTCTGTTGATAATGATCTTTTCCCAGGGTGTTCATGTATTTCCTGTGCTGATAGCAAAGTTTAAGCGCTCCAAGCAAAGCAATTATGTATTTTTCAAGAAAGTATAATATAGAAATATAATGTGATCTATTGACATATATGACTTTGTTTGCTGATAGAGTTAAAGCTAGCTGCTAGTTTCTAGGTTAGAAATCTCTTCTGCTGGATTTATTTATTTATTTATTTATTTATTTATTTTTGTGGAAGCGGGGATTGAACTCAGGCCCTTGCACTTGCTGGGGAAGTGCTTATTCTATTCTGCTGAGCCATCTCTCCAACCCCTCTTGCTGGACTTATATTGGTGAATCACTGCAGGCCACTGGATGTGGAAACTTAGGAACCATTTCCCAGGATACCACAGTGGCTTGAAGTTTGTCACAGACTTCTTTCTAAGGAGATATCCTCAAAGAGTGAGGCGCTGCATTGCTAATTGTATTTTCATTATTCAAAAACATTTTTATCCAAAAGGAAATGTGATTGGAATCTAAGAGGGAGGTGCTGTCAAACATGACCGTAGAATAAAGAATGATGGAGGCACTTCAGAAATTATTTTTATTGCCAGAATTTGGCAACAAGTGTCAAAAATTACCGCAGTGATGCTGGGATGTAGCTGTATTTCATCTTTTCCATTGCTTTCCAAGTTAAAATTAGAAAGTGCTGACTACATTTCCTTTAGTCATTTAAGGAGTCTTCTAAACATGATTATGTTTCTATTCCTCCTTACTTGGTTAACATAATGCTGCCATTTACATGAACACTCATGACGAACATTCTAGAGCTGAAAAAAATCTGGAGGATATGACATAAAAATGCAGTCTATGTACTACTTTTCAAAATATGTCTCTATCTGGGCATGGTGGTGCACACCTGTAATGCCAGCATTTAGGAGGCTCAAGCAGGAGGATTGCTGTGAGTTCAAGGGTGGCCTGAATTACATAGCAAGACCCTGTCTCAAAGCAAAGCAAAGCAAAGCAAAGCAAAGCAAAGCAAAGCAAAGCAAAGCAAAGCAAAGCAAAGCAAAGCAAAGCAAAGCAAAGCAAAACATGTTGCTAACACCTGGTGTAATGCGTCAGAGAAACAGTCTTCACTGACATCTTTTAATTTACACATCAATGACAGTTCCCTAGTTCCAGAAGGACATGTACCATAGATGATGCCAATGACATCCTTCTTCTTCTTCTTTTTTTTTTTTGATTTCATCATTTCAAATTATATTGATGTTCATTCTTTCTATTTATGAACCTAAAATCTCTCTCCTTTCATTTAACTCACTTTGTCATTCATTTAATCAGAATTTTATCATTTTCTTTTTTTTTCAAAATTTTATTGATAAACAGCAATGAGACAGCTTCAAATCAAATCGGAAGTGCAGTTTCAACAAATAAGACACTGCATATATTCTTCTTAGTGGTTAATTGCTGTACAAGATGCGGACTTGTGATCCTATTTACAAACACCACTAGAACAAATCATTCTGTTCATTAAGAGAATGCAACTATATATCTATCCCAACCACTTTGAATACACAGATACAAAATGGACATTCATAGGTATACCCCATCTTTTCTAAGTTCCGTTATTGAATATTATAGGTGTGTAAACTCAGCAAAATATTCTAAAAGAGTCCAGTAGCCCATAATAGCATTAGGTCCACTGTTTAACTGGCAATGAATGACATCCTTCTTGAAATGGATTCCTCCCAGCAGTATTGCTTTTTTGATCTCAGAATCAAAAAGAAAGTTTATTATTAAGTGTGATGCTAGATCAATATTTTTAAATGACTTTCATAAATTTCCAAGAAATTCCTTCTTGGTTCTTTGAAGCTACTTGATTGCTTACTCGGTAGCTCACTAGTTAAGCACTTTACTATTCAGTAGTACTTAAACATCTTTGGTCTCTTTGGACCAGTTTTGATCTCCAAAAGTAAGTGAATCTACACCATGCATAACTTCAGTCAAAATGAGTTCAAAGTATCTTCATATAGTAGACAGGTGTAAAATGTGTTAATTGCCAAAAATGCTGCTCTGTGATAGATAAATGATCATCCTGTGGAATAACTCAGGTTAAAAAATAAAAGCTTGGTGTTGTGTTAAGATAAGTGAAGTAGCCTTGCCTTGTGGCTTCAATTTTCTTTGACTTGGCGCCGTAGAAAGGCTCATCTTCATTGTACTCATCAAACACCCCCCAGCGGAGGTGGGCCCACTCGTGGACGAGCAGCCTCCCTGTGGGGAAACATTCCAAACATGTGATCAAAATTCAGGTGCCAAATCCTAAACCTCAAAAATTTGAAGGTGTTTCAGGCACAACTATACTTTTAGCTTTAAGTTTTTCATAACTTTTAAAAAACTTTTATTTATGTAATTGGTACAGGGTCTCTCTATGCAGCTCAGGTTTGTAGTGATCCCCCTGTCTCTGCCTCCGTGGTGCTGGAACTACAGGTGTGTACCCCATGCCTGTTTTCAGGCCAGCCTGGTGTCCCTAGAATCTCCGGGGCCAGCACGGCATGCATTACTTGCCAGGCACACACTTAGACCACTGAGCTTTCTCCCCAGCCCAGTTTTCATAACTCTTAACATTTATATTTTTGTTTATATAAAATGAGCTTATTGAATTAAATAACACCTTATATATTATCATTTTTAATCTTATGTTTTTTGGTTTTTTTGGCAGACCTGGGAATTGAACTCAGGCCCTTGTGCTTGCCAGGGAAGCACTTATTCTACTGAGCCATCTTCCTGGCCCCTCATTTTTAATCTTATATATTATCATTTTGTTTCACACAGATGTTTAATCAATAAAACATTTGTGGGATGTAAACTGTGGTTGGAGTATACTAAGATTTGGGTTTGTGTCCAAGAGGATTAAAGTTCTTATATATTATAATGGTGTATGGCTCTCTAAAATTCATGCCTGCCAGCCACATAATGGAATATAAACTAATTTGCTGTTTTGAATACTATGTGGATGTAACTAGGAAGAAGTGTCTAAAAATGGTCCTGCTGAGGTTGACAATGAAAAGAGATGCATGAACACTACTGCAGACCATATATGACTTGGAAAACGTCACAATGAAGTGACTCATTTATGATATGTATAAACATTATATAAAACAGTATTTTCAGTTGTATATTAAGTTAAATATTAGGTATTAAATATAAATCTTTCAAATGGAGAAATTTTGAGAGGGATTAGAATAATGCACTTTTTAGAGAAGAATTTCCAGATTAATGGAAAAATAAAAATGAAACCACAGTTTGGGATGCAGAAAGAAGCGACAAGTGGAACTGTTCGCCATGTTGGGACACCTTCAGAGGAAACACTCAGGGAAGAGAGTGGGAAAATAAAGCAGTCCGAGCTGTGGCAGGTATTACCTCAGCGCAGATAGCCTCGCGCGAGATCTAAGAATGGGGGGGCGTCCTCAGTAATAAGGAAAAAAAATCATGCTCCTCTTCTAAGCCCTTGCTACCCAGAGTGGAGGCAGGGGCATTCGCCAGGGCATTTGTTGGAAAGGCAGAGTCTGGGGCCCGCCCCAACCTGCAGCTGAATCAGAGTCCTCATTATGACAAGATCCCTAAGTCATTCCCTTACACACAGAACTTTTAAATTGCTGGGTTAAGGTTTTCTGGGCAAACAGTCAGGTGAGTGGGAGAGGATTATAACTTCAGTATGAGAGAGCAAAGCCCTCTCGTGGGCTGGTGCAACAGTTAGCTGACCTGAAGACGATGTGAAATAGCCTGCTCAGGTCTGCTCAGACTTGCTCTCCCCTCAGCCTGGCCTCTGCCCATGCTCATCCGAAAAGCAGCCCGTGTGACTTGTCCTGCTCCCATCTGCCCCGCTGTGTCATTTTGGGCTACTTTCTTCTCCTTTCTAATATGCGAGCATGTGTGCACGCGTACATACTTGCTGTGTCAGTTTGCCGCCACGTGGAGTTACTGCCTTACAGGTCCAAATGTTCTTTCTAGGAACCTATGTTTATTGTTCTCGTTATTAAATTCATTGGAATATTAGGTTTTGAGGGCTTTATATTTCATCCAATTTTTCTAAAAGCTTTGTTGTTTCAGGACATGATTTGCAAAATGTGGTTTCTTTTCATAGACCCATATAGCCTTATGTAATAAGGACATCTGAGAGGAAGGGCACAATCAGCAATAGACTGTTGCTGAGCTCAGATGGCGGCGCTGGCTCTAAAAATTGGAAAAGTCTTCCTTTACTATGATGTCTGGAAATAGAAGAGATAGAGCCTGGCTCAGTCATTTGGTGTTGCCGATTTAGAATGTCAAATAAAGGCTAAGCTTGAGAGTGGTGGGGGATTTGGGTCATTTGTCCTTGCAGTTGAAGAATTTGCTACATGTGGTAGGTAGAAAGAGCAGCTGTCACTGACAAAGGATCTGCAAACTGCAATACAGGGTTTTAGGATAAATCCTGAGGGGATTTGGCTGACCTCATCAAATACGAGTGTTACATTTCTTGTTCTATAGGTCTTGCTTTATCTTGGTCTTAACCATCTAGCAGGAAAGTATCAAAATGAAGTATAAAAAGTAAAGCCATATTAATATGCTGAGCTCTAAAAGGCTCAGATCAACAACTTCTGACATTACCAGCCCTACGGTGGATAACCCACTACTATTATGGACTACTGGACTATATTTCAATATTTTGCTGAATTCATGCACCTGCAATATTTAAATGACAACGGAATACCTATCTCTGACAAAACTAATCAAAAAAGGGGGATACAAATGAACGACCATTTTGTATGTGTATATTCAAAATAGTGAGAATAGATATACAGCTACATTTTCTTAATTCAGTGAATAGAAAGATTTGTTCTAATAGTGTTTGTGGACAGGATATCATGTCTGCATCTTGTACAATGAATAACCACCAAGAGAACAATATGCAATGTATTAATTATTGAAACTGTCCTACTAATTGGGTTTGAAACTGTCTCATTGCTATTTGTTTCTCAATAAAATTATTTTTAGAAGATAAATAAAAATGAAGATAAAAGAAAGAGCAGCTAGGAGGGCACAAAAGATTAGAAGGGACAGGACAACAAGATGGCAGGATAAAATTTGAGGGGGTGGTAAAATTGTGGTGGGAGGAGATACAGAGCTTTCAAGATAGACAGGCATGCGGAACATGTTCAGGGTGACTAGGGCAGGCTGAACTTTGGCAGAGACAAGAGACTGCATAAATGTGTACTTAACGGGCGTTTGGAGCATAGAGGTGGGTCTGGTGTGTGAGGGCCCATAAAAGTTTTTATTGAATAATGATACATGAATTGATCTTCCTTTATCAATATTTTGCCTTTTTTTTTTTTTTACACTTTTGTATTTTCTTTTTTTCCCCATAATTTTATTGAGAAACAAATAGTAATGAGACAGTTTCAAACCAGATGGGTAGAACAGTTTCAATAATTAGCACATTGCATACATTCTTCCTAGTGGTTATTTGCTGTACAAGATGCAGACATGATATCCTATTTACAAACACCATTAGAACAAATCCCTCTATTCATTAAGAGAATGTAACTATATATCTATCCTAACCATTTTGAATACACAGATACAAAATGGACATTTATCTGTATCTCCTTTTTTGTTTAGTTCTGTCATTTGAATATTATAGATGTGTTAACTCAGCAAAATATTCTAAAAGAGTCCAGTAGTCCATAATAGTATTGGGTCTTCTGCTTGACTGGCAATGTCAGAAATTGTTGACTTGAGTCCCCTACAGTGATTTAGCTCAATTGAACACATAATGATAGCATTTAGATTAAACTAGATGAAATAAAATTTTAATAGGTCTAAATGCTGAATTATAGAGTTTCATTTGCCTCAATAAAATGTTTAATTGCAGCAGCTAGTAACAGCCAATGAGTATTTTCTCTTGACAGTTAACTGGCATCATGTTTGTTTCCAACTTACTGTACGTCTGGAAACCATGGAACTGGCATGAGACTATGGAGAACTGGAAATGGAATCTAAATTGTATGCTTAAGAAAATATTTAGTATTGTTCTTGCTCTCTGTCAATTTTTTTTTTTTTTATGTATTTGGTACAGGGTCTCACTATGTAGCTTGGACTTATAGTGATCCTCCTGTTTTCAGCCTCCCCAGAACTGTGATTATGGGCATGTGCCACTATGCCACCTGGTCTTGGTGGCCTGCTCAGCACACCCAGGGCTGGGGCCAGTACAGCATGTGGTGCTGGGGATCAAACCCTGGTTCCTGCGCTTGCCTGAGCAGGCACTTAGTCCACTGAGCTGTCTCACCAGCCCTTCTGTCCAAATTTTCAAGGACATTGTTATATATTACATTAAGTATATTTACATAGATTTTCTAGTTAAAAAGTTCTATAATGTCGGATCTCCTGTATCACATTTGCACAGGAAGCTGGATTACCTCTTTAACATCACAGTAACTCATATGCAGAAGAGTAAGAATTTGAGCCTTGCGTCTCTGGCCCCTAAGCCTGCTTACTTAGACTGGAAACACATTTGCTTGCTGAAAATCAGATGTTTTTTCCAAATTTCCTACCTGTTGCCCCATATTCATCTTGTTTCTTGCCCAGAACAACATCAGGGGTGAAGTGAATGTATTGTGCTTTTTCTCCACACTCTGTGAACTGTCTTGTATAAGGTTCATCTCTGCCCTGGAGGGTTGGCGGTGCAATTATTACATCAGCCTGAAAATGGCAAAGAAGAAAGTGGACACATCAAAAGGAGAAATGGCCATACATAGTGAGACTGACTCTGCGATGACCTATGGCCAAGGCATGAAGCATCAGAAAATATTCCTTTCTGTTGAGATGATTGTGGTACTTACGTGTTGGTAGCTCTCATATTTTGGCCTTTTGTATTGAGAATTTCCTCCCCAAGTCTCAGGAATCAATATGGACACATTTTTGAAAAAAAATCTTTTTTCTGTGGCTTCAAACAGGTAAGTAGAGGCTGTGGTCACCATCACCTATTGTCAGAGGGAAAACATATGAGGATAGGAGGGGTGAGAGTGGTCTTATGGTCAGTGCCAGGCATTTCCCACTGTTAGCTAATCCAGAAGCCACTGAGCTAGGAGCAGGGTCTCTGCACATAACTTCAGCTCTGTTGCCTAAGCTACCACCTCATCCTACACAATGCAAACCTCTTCAGTCTTCAATCCTGTCATCTCAAAAGGTGGCTGCTTCTGCACAGTGATTAGTGGAGTTGATTAATATGACTATGAACATGTACATGGACTTTGGAGTCATTTACTTGGCTACTGTGGTGGCATTAACACTTGCTGGGTAGCAGATCTTTCTTGCTTGATCTTTGGAGTGCTCTGAAATTTAGTTTCTCTACCACTTAATGGGACACTGCTATACTACTTATTTTTATAGTTGAAATAAAGATGGAATGAATTAGGAAGTACTCTGCACATCATTAGTCATAAAACTGATATCATCTCTGGTTACAAACTGTCTTTCTGAGACAGGGTTTCACTATGTGCTTCAGACTGGCCTTGAACTCAGCAATGCTCCTGCCTCAGCTTCCTGAGTGCTGCAATTGCAGGTGTGCGCCATCATGCCTGACTAGTACAAAAACTTGAGTGAAGTACAGCCTCAGCCGAGGCAAGCTGAAGAAGACAGTCTGTAGAAATCGGTATGAAAGGGGTTTCCCTCGTCTTACTTCACTCCCAGTAGAGGTTGCTGAGTTGGTACCTCAATGAGTGGAGTTTTAAGAATATTCACATAGAGGTAAAATTTTGATCACAAAATTGTTACTATGCCAACAAGCTGAAAATAATAATAAACCTAAAATTAACATGATGAATAGAAGACATTTGCCTTCTGTTATCTAGTGGGAGAAATATAAGGGGAAAGGCTTTTAGGGTGATCAAGGCTGCTGATAACTGAGGAATTCTAGGGGAAGGGTGGGGATATAAGTTTCTTCCTCTTTCTGGAAACACCCTATTCTTCTTCACAACTGGTTCCCCAGTGTACTTCCTGGTTCCGCAACAGACTAGTTCTCCCCCAGGAATAACCAGGCTTTCTTCCTCCTTTCCTACGTGTCTTCAATGTGCTGATTCACCCGTAATATATGAAGTCAGCCAACTGATTGGGTTCAGAGCCATGGGTTAGTCAGAAGGGTGCAGTTCAGAGAACTAAGGGCTGAGTGGATGAGCTAGGTGTCAGGAAGGGAGGCTGAAGAACTCAAAAGTAGGACGGAAGTTGTTTCAGCACTAACCTAAGACTGAAAATAATTCTCTTTTGTTTCTAAAGATGTCTGTTTTCTCTTTCTTCCTCCCTGCTTCCTTCTGTTCTCTTCCTCTTTTCTCCTCTTCCTTTTTTACTTCTTCCTTTCTTTCTCTACACTCTCCTTCCCTTCTTTCTTTCTTTCTGCCTTCCTTCCTTCCTCCCTCCCTCCCTCCCTCCCTCCCTCCCTTCCTTCCTTCCTTCCTTCCTTCCTTCCTTCCTTCCTTCCTTCCTTCCTTCCTTCCTTCCTCTCTTTTCT